GGTGTAAAAGAAACTTGCAAAGATGAAACAATATAGATACAAACATCCGTATATTAATCCAAAGAGTACAACATTCCACCAAAGGGGAAGGGATATCTAAGCAAAGACAATTTTTTAAAAGATATACGATGAAATGTATTTGATAAGTGAAACTAAATGCAATCATCTGCAAAGTGAATCTTACCTGAGCTGCTGAGAGAGAAAGCAGATTTGGAGTTACTGAGTAATGGTATCAGAATGTTGATAGGGACCCACCCTTCTTTGTTTGTGCTCAAGTTCCGCAGATACCTAAAAATACACAATTGCTGTCAAACTATTGAAAAACTCAGCATCTACAAATCAAAACATTATGGCTAAATTCAGAAGCAATATAGCCACCCTGTGTTTAGATATAGATTGTATTTGGAATGTATCTTATATACCCTCTGAACATTCCAGATTTCCAGCTGTGATCTGAATGCAAGTTAGACTCTCATTCTCTCATCTCAGATAATCTTTTATCTTGTAAATTCTCTCCTGAGGGGTTCTGGATATGATAACAAATATATTAAATGTAAATTTAGTTTGAGAAACAAATGGAAAAACTTATTGGATTTGTGAATTGGATTAACTTCCCAAGACTCTGCTATTTATACTGAATTGTTTTAGTTTGCTCTATACCGTATTGTTGTAATTTTATCAAAGACTGTTCTTATAAGGGGTGTGTGGAAGCAATATTCTAAGCTTCTTCAAGATTTCTTAAACATGGTTACATATCTAGAATAGTGTATACTGAGCAAAATTATATTTCAATATATTTTGTATTAAAATACAATACCAAAGACCATCTGCTCCTTCATGGATTAGCTGAACTAACTCGCCACTGTTCAGGATCAAGCCATTTGAGTTGCATTTATCATAAGTGGCTACAACAGTATATTTACCAGGAATCTAAATAGAAAAATGAGAAACCACAATTGTTTAATAAGAAATAATCATCTAAGTATTAGAACTGTCACAATAAATAGATTGACATTTGGGACATAACTGAACAGTGGTATCAGTTTAGTTTTTTCATAAAGAAGCTCCCAAAAGCAGTCTTCTAGGTTAAATTAAAGACCATTTAATAACTTTTCGGGATTACAGCTTTCTAATATGTATGTGACATTACATTCATACATCTAAATATTCAGAATATTTAATAAATGTTATAATTATAACTTATAATTATGTTATGTTACTAATAGCTATTTTAGAATTGTTCAAATTTATATATAACTCTTTTCTGTACTGTAATTATAAAAACACAAACATTAATTTTTCCTTAGTGATTACTTGTTGAGTGAGTGGATTAAGACATTTTATCACATTTCTACTATAAAGATGAAAGTTACCAATTTCTTTTCTCCCTTTCCCTCTTCTTCTGCATCTGATGAATTAAGTGGATCTTCTGCACTAGACCAACCATCATTTTCTTCAGAAGCATCAAGAGATTGAGATATTTTGGACCAACCTGAATACATCAATACATTATTATTAGAAGACATTTGAGGTTCTCTCTATCTCTCTCCCTGGCCCCTTTCTCTCAACATAAACCTACAGATACACATATAGTTTTAGTATAAAAATACAGAATCCATTTGGAACTAGGAATGACAAAACAAAATGAATTCAAATATGGCTAGTCTTCTTTTTTTCCTGCTATTAGTCTTACATTCCCTGAATTTTGGTTTTAAACATGAATAATGTTACATTAAATTATACAGAAATATTTAATGATACTACCATAGTGTTTAATATTTTCTATTACAAAATAACGAACTCATTCAATACTGGCAAAAGTATGCTTTCAACAAACAAATGATAACCCCTGCATTTAATTTCAAGTCTTTCATTTCCAGAATAAGTAACTACTACAGAACAGAAATATACATTTTCTTTATTTAACAATATAGTTCCAAACAACTGCACATATCATCTCATGTATCTTTCGATATTGGTTTACTAGTCTGTCTTCCTGTCCTACTTTATTTATCACATGCAAGAAAGTAAAAATATAGCTGCAAGAATATAATTAGAAAATGTTTAGCTGCTCATGATGACACTTAGTTTCTATTGAATAAAATACAGGGGCTGCATTTGGCAGGATGGTTCAGGGAGAATTTGAATGTATTTTCCTTAATAGCTAAGTTTATTCAAGTACATTTAGTACATCCTGATTATTAGAACAATTTCTTTAATGGAAAATGTCTGGAAATGTCAAACAAAGGAAACATAGGAGAGATATTTGTGTCTGAGAAATTTTTTTTTCTGAGATTTTTGCAGTCTGTAACTACCAGATCCTGAAGACATATAAACTTAGTCAATCATAGATTGCCAGTATGGTGCAAAGATCAATGGGTTGCACCACAGCTAGAAGTACTTCAGTTTATATTGGACGTTATATTGGTCACCTGAATCAAATTAGATCTGATACAGGGACAGAGGACTGAAAACTCCACCATCCTTATTTTATTGAAAGAAAAGCTGGCTGGAGAGAAATGTAGGACAAAAGAAATTATTTCTCTTCTATAGCTCTACTCTAAATCACATGCTCATTCAGCTGCCATTAGTCATAGAGGACCTAAAGAGATACATACCTTAGTAGAGGTGGTCCTTAGTTAGCAATTGCATCATTTAGTGACCATTCCAAGTTAACTAACATTATGACCAATACTCACATTTATGAGAACTGTAAAACCGAAGTAAGATCATAAGGATAGTCATGGTTTCACTTAGTGACTGCTTTGCTTAACAACCAAGTTGCAACTGCTAAGCAAGGATTTTCTGTGTGTCTTATTTTTCTTCTCTGCACTAATAGCACTTTGAGCAAGGAACAAATTCCCAATAGTGAACTGATAAAGGTTTCCTATCTTTAATTTAGCCCTCTCCTTTCATCTTTTCTGAAAGAACAAGATGTTAGAAGTTACAATTATGGAATACATTTAGATTGCTGGTCATTATGATTTTGTCATAATGGTAAATGGAAAACCCTCTGATTACATCCTGACATCTTCAGAAACAGAAACATGCAGATCCACACAACAAACAGAAATTCTAAAAAGAACTAAAAAGGAAGCTTTATTAAATAAATAAATTTATTAAATAAATTATTCAATGAAGAATTAAAAGGCGACAATCCTATCTACCAAATCCTACCATGACTAAATCAAGCAAGCAACCTGTGTTTGAGAGCAGGTCTGTTGTGTCTCAAGTGGGCAAGGAAAGAAAGCCACAACAAACCACACCATGCAGAAAGTTCAGCGATCTAGGCCCAAGAAAAAAATATGTTACCTTGCCTGCCTTGGGCTGTTAGTAAAAGGTAAGTAGCGCTGACCCACTTTGCCCTGTTCCACGTTAACACAGACTTTGCATCTGTGAAAGAACTGAATAATAAATATCCCTCTTTCATCACGCTGTAGCTATATTACTTCTATTATTGGAGGCTATATTTAACCTGTTCATAATTTAAATGGATGCCCATAAGCAGTTTGTTTTGCATAGCCGTACCCATATAGAGATAAGGTTTTTCATATTCCATGTAGATTCTGTATAATTTGTGGGAATGTAAGGCTTAATAATATTTAAAAGAGTAAGTGCAATGCAATAAATGGAAATGCAAGGAACCAGAGTATTTAACGAGTAACTTGATTTCTGATACATAGTGACCCCTAATGAGTACTATAAGAATTGGGATGAGATATATACTCTAGGATCTTCCTTATATTATATCCTTATATCAACAGGGCTTTCTTCTTTTTCCCTTCACTGATGCCAGCTGCTTGCTTGCCAGGAAGAGAGTTGATGAATAAACAACCAAGAGCAACCAGCAGCAAGTTTTCTTCTTCCTCCTCAGTTACTTTTACCTTCAGAATGGATACAGAAAACTCAAACTCTTTTTGTTATTTACCAGACAACTTGATTTTTGGAGTTCAAACCTGGCGGCCCTAGTAAGGGACAACAGTAGCCACAGGGTTACAGTTGTGAGACTCCTGCCAGGTCAAAACATGCTAATCTTTTATGCTGCCTATATTTCAGATATGAGATTCATGTTTTACACTAGCAATTTTCAATAATTTCCAAATGAGAGTTGCAGATAGGTAGATCAGACAAAGGGAGGTTTCATTTTATTAATCTAGGTCTTCCTCATAATTTATTTTATTTATTTTATACATATTTTATGAGTTTATTTTATCATGGATACAAATTATTATGCTTGCTATACTCTGCTATACAACTATTATGCTTGCTATACGAATTATTATGGTTCCTATACTCTAAGTGATCTCATCTATTCCCTTGATCCAGTGTCATCTTCTATCACCGTCACCTCAGCTTGCAGAATGTAATCACATCTTTTATTCTATCATCTGCCCACATTATCTGCTCACAGCAGAACTGCTTGAACTTCAGTTGAATGGATTATTCGATATGTTGACTCAGCCTTTCATCCTTCCAAGGTTGGTAAAATAAGTTGGGGGCAATATGCTGATTCTTAAACTGCTTAGAATGGGCTATAAAGCACTCTGAGTGGTATACTGTAGAAGTCTAAGTCTTATTGCTACTTCCAGATTTCAAGGCTGATTGATCAGTTCTTCTGCAGCCTTTAGATCTGTAGTAATAATCAGATCCATTATTTCTAGAAAAGTTTCTCGATGTTCATCTTTTACAGGCACAAATTAACACTGGAAATACCTGTGATTTAATTATACGGATTGGTATTGCCATCAACATAGACTTATCATTAATAAACTTGCCTAAGTTTTTCCCCACTTTTCTTCCCTAAGATTAATCTGTTCTTTTATCTCTTGAGCACACTGTCTATCCTTATTCCTGATTTAAAGAAAATTGAACTGTTGACCAATTTCACTATCAAATATAAGTTGACTAAGTAGTTCCTATGGGAGTCTAACAGTTCAATTATTCAAAGAATTGAGAAACATAGCTATTGCATGGCACAGACTTTTTTGGTATTCTAGATTAATAAATGTAATTCTACTCTTTCCTCAAACAAAAAGGAGATGGGTAACTATTTTAGAGTAGTTGTTAAACCAGACTAAGGACAGCAATGGATCAAGCTAAGCCCACATATTTTGAAACCTGAAAGTCAAATTTCATAGAGGTATTAATCTCTATACATTTTAATGTTTTATAACATTTACCAAGATTTTACATCATAATATAATAAAGTACCAGATCATTTTTTGTTTCATACCACAATTTTTCCAATTGGTTCCATGGAAAGCTTTTGAATTTACCTTTGCTTTTTTCAAGATTCTTTGATGCTACTGAACTGACAGAACCATCTGGACTGTCTGCATTTCTCATTTCTTGTTTTCTCAAGTGCCTTCCCTCATTTTTTGGAGGGCTATACATGGAAGAAAGTGAAAGTTGTCATTTATAGTTATTGCAATAGCGTTACATGCATGAATGGTTTATATCACACTAAGATCTTTAAAACAAACTTCAGAGGATGGGATTTTTTTTAAAGGAACCCCACAAATAAATGAAAATAATGACTTATTGTGCATTAGAATATTAAACCACACTGGAAACCTGGTTTTAGGAAACCATGCATAAACCTGAGTCCACAGTCTATTTCTTTGGAAAGTGTCTAAGGCAGGGGTCGCCAACCTTTTGGACCTCAGGGACCACCAAACTGATAATTTTAAATCCCAGGGACCACTAACTGGTTCTGTGGGTGTGGCCTAATTTGCGGGTGTGGCTTGATGGTCATGTGACTGGCTGGGCATGGCTTGTATCATGAAGTGTTATACGTTATGATTCTTGATTCTTAATGAATGTATCTTTTCTATTATGTATACTGAGAGTATTTAAACCAAGACAAATTCCTTGTGTGTCCAATCACACTTGGCCAATAAAGTATTCTATTCTATTCTATTCTATTCTATTCTATTCTATTCTATTCTATTCTATTCTATTCTACTCTTTTCTATGTAAATATTATAAATATTTATATCAATATTGAATTTTTTTATTAAAAAGAGCAACTTTTACCCAAAATCAAGCAAAGAAGGCAGGCAGATTGACTTGCTCACAGAATCACAGATTCATTCAGAGATCTATCTATCTGCCATTGGCTAGCTCAGTCTGTCATGTAAAATTTACTAGCAAGCAAACTCACAAAATTAACTCATAACACACCATGTATGTAAATATTGAATTTTTTTATATAAAAAAGAGCAACTTTTACCCCAAATCAGGCAAAGCAGGAAGGCAGATTGAGTTGCTCACAGAATCATTCAGTGTTCCATCTATCTGCCATTGGCTAGCTCAGTCTCTCAAATTGGCTTGCCGTGAGTCTGCACTGAATAATAGAATCTTCAGTCCTAAGGGAGATTTGGCTGTGCTTAAAAACAAAGCCTAAGATCTAAAGACTAGCTAGAAAGCAAGAAATCAAACCATTTCCTGCTTCCTAGCTAATCTAAATCTCCAGGCACAGCAGAACAGATGATGGTTGGAAAAAGGAAAAATAGCAACTTAGCACACAAGTTTGCCGGATAAGGAGTGAGTGGGTGGGGAGGGTTCCTGCAGGCCATGTGGGCAGCACAGCCTTATGTTTCTGCTCAGCCTGGATTAATTGCTTTGGGGGCTGCTCTGGGGTTGAGATTTCTCTGCGGCCCACCAAAATTTTCTCATGGTGCACCAATGGGCTGCGGCCCATTGGTTGGTGACCGCTGCTCTAAGGTATATTTAAATACTGTACAGAAGTTAAGAATTTAAATCCCTAACTTGGCCCATGACACTTGAAATCCAAAGCATCAATTGTTTCAGAGTTTTAAAAAGTAATCTTTGAGGTAGAGAATGACTCACCTGGTGTTAGCTGAGAGAGATAAAGGTAAACTCTGAGTATGTTCAACAGCTTTATGCTGGCTAGCTTCTGTGAGTGACAAAGAGAGAGAGAGAAGGAAAGTATATGTCATTGACAAGCTTAAGCTTTGGAGAGAACATTAAAGTTCATTCATGTTTAGAGAAACATGAATGAAGGTAAACTATTGTTCAAACAGGGAACTATTTTATCTGCAGTCCAAATACCTTCATAAATGTATACAATTTTTTTACATTACATTGTACTGGGTATGGATAGAATTCTCACAGAAATAATAGGGTTTTAACAAGAGTAACTGCAATTTACGGTAACTTGCTCATGGCAATCACTTCTAGCTCAAAATATATACTTTGCCATTTCTGCTTATCTTTGCCTTTTCTTTACTGGAGCAGGGAAATGTAAAAAAAAAGCCCTTGCATCCCTAGCCCAAGCAGACAGATAAGTGTTTTGGGATGTGAAGGAAAAAAACATGATATACCTTCCCTTCCCACATTTTCTACAAGAAAAACTATGAGGGTGCAACTAGAAATGGAAGGGTGTTGGGTGTCCTACTTCAAATAATGACTGCCATTTCAAGGAAGAAGAGCTAGTTTTGTTCCCCTCCTAAGAAATTTGTTTCTGTTTAGAAAAATAAACACATTTTTTTACTTTATGATGATATTTTACACCTAAATATTAGAAATCTGGAAGATTGATGAGAAAGACTTAACTTACGCCTGCAAGCCTGTAATTGGCTGGTTAATACTTTTCTAATTTCATTTACCCAGGTAGCTTTGATTTCAGGAGTTGCAGCCTATGTCAAAAAGAAAAAAAATCCCAGAAATTTAATTAATTTGTCCTTCTTCAGGCAGCCAGTCAAAAAGAGAATTTCAGCAGATAATGTTAGAATTGTGTCAAAACTGGCAAGCATTGTGACAAAGTCTTACCCCTTTGTATGTGTGTGCAATATTTATAAGTATCCCCTTGTATATTTACGCAAAAGGAGAGTGTTTAGATTGGGATATCAGAGTTGCCATCTTGTCTCTTGTGACCTCCACTGGGGTGCTATTGTTTCATTGTCACAAAATACAAGTAACTCTTTCTTCCTTCTGTTTTCCAACCATTTCCCCCCCAAAAGTTCTGGAGAAAAGACCCATAACGGGGACATTATTGCTGCATAAATTATGTTAATTATATTCTTATATTTGTAATTAGACTATTGTTTTCCTGTTTTTATTAGCTTTCTTGAGCCTCATAGTTGGTAGAAGTGGGAAATAAACTGATCAAATAAATAAGGAGCCTTTTCAACAAGGAGCATTTAAAGAAAATATTTTACCTGTATTATGTAAACTTCTTCCCTTGCATTATACCAGATTTCAAATTTTTTAATATCACCTTTTACATTTTCTGTTATTCCAACTGCAGTCATCTAGAAAACAAAATAAATTTAAAGCAATATTCAAGTAGATAATCTTGTCAAATAATATTCACACAAATTTATTTGATTAAATATATTTCTAATTTAAATACATTATATATACTTGTGTGTGTATATATATAAATAAGCAGACTTGCTTTTTGGGGTTAACCCTAATCTATTAGTAAAATATCAAGATTCTCTTTCATTTCCCCAATAAAGTAATAATAGGGCAGTTGGGTTCCAAATATTTGGGACTAGCCAAATATTAGGGACTAACGAAATCAGGGGTCTCCAACCTTGGCAACTTTAAGGCTTGTGGACTTCAACTCCCAGAGTTCCTCAGCCAGCTTTGTTGGCTGAGGAACTCTGGGAGTTGAAGTCCACAAGCCTTAAAGTTGCCAAGGTTGGAGACCCCTGAACTAGATAACTCATGTCCATTGGGTCATCCTTTCAGATATATTTCCTTACCAAAACAGAGAATGTAAGTACAAATCTGTCACCGTGTTCCTGTCAGCAGCCATGATCCCCATCAACTTTCTCCCTATAAGCTTCTCAGGCTTCCCCGTTGACTGGTGGGAAAGTGTCAGGGAATGTTGTAAATGAGGATCATGTAACCATGGCAGCAGAGCAGTGGCACTGAACAGCAGCTCTGAACAGCAGTTGTGCTGACACGGCAAGAACTTTACAAAATTTCATTGCTATGGGAATAATGGGTCCTCCTCACATTCTAGGAGTTAACTCCTTTGAGGTACCTTAGTTGAAATGGTTTTCCCCTATGATGCACTGTTTATCCCAGTTAAAGGTTACGTGTGTGGGTGGGTGTTTGTGTTTGTGTGTGTACATATACATATACACATGCATACATACACACACAAAGTGTAACATTTTACTACAGTCCTTTACCTGCTAGTTTGCAGTAGTCCCCTTCAACTCCAAGTCTTAACCAAAATAAAATTTGACTGGATCCTCCAGACTATGTGGCGGAATCTTTTCTCAGAAAAGTGAAATACGTAGATGTTTCCATTTACAGAAATATGTGTAGGGAACGAGGGGATAGATCTGGAGGTTGAGGCCTAGACTAGGTTGGAATTACTACCAGTAGTAGCAACTGTGATGTTTTTTCCCCCTTTCCTTCAGATATTTGTTACTTAAAACTCACCAGATAGCTCTAGATGCCTTTCTGGTTGCCCTGAAATTCATGAAAGTCACTGATGTTGATATTGATGAAGTCCAGTGCATTTTGGCTAATCTCATTTACATGGTAAGTGTTGGCATTCATAACATGGCATGGATAAAAACATTTGCTGTGTTGTAGGCTTACCATACCATAACATTAATATCTACTTTTATCTAAAGTGAACATACTCTGTATATTCATAAGCACAAAAGGACAAATGGTTACTCAATGGAACAATGGACAATGGAATTGGACAAGTTTTTTTAATCTATTATATATTTCTCCAGCATTGCATTAATGGTGTATTATTAATCACTAGCTTATAGTCAGAGGAATATTGCCAGCTGCTCCGGGTTCTGTGTTAGGGTGAGAGTACGTCAGCCTTTTTCAGCCATGTGCCTTTGGGTTTCATTATCCCAAAATTGTCAGCCAGTTTAATCAGGGCCAAGCTGGCAGATAATTCAGCAATTCATGGTTTTGGTAAGGCAACAGATTCAGGGAAAATAGACATTCATAGTATCAGCAGCAACAATGTATGAAAAGGACTATATAATACAATGTTGATTCAAGAAAAGGGATTCCTTTACACCTGTTTGATACCCTTTAGTGCACCTTTCCAGGTCTGGTGCCTTCCAATTGTGTTGAATTTTAGCTACCCAAATACTTATCTAGCATGTTGAAAGATCATCTTGATTTGGAATTCTGGAATTTACATATATAAATACATGTGTTTATATTTTGGTAATCTGGAGGATGTCAAGTTGACTTAGAAGTTGACTTAGGAGGTAATTTGGGCATATGTTGGAAGTAATGGAATAATTTTAATTGCTGGTTTGTGAGTTGAGGATCCATTTTGGGATTATCTTTCTCCTGAAATACTTGAGCAAAAGAAGATAATCAGGGTTTTTTGGGCTGAAGTAATGAGATTATTCAAGACCAGGAAAAGGAGCAGTAATTTAGAATATGTCTTAACT